AATAGGATAGCCTTATTTAAAATCTTGATTTCCGCGTGGTTCTTTTAAAAGTCATGATTTGGTGTTATACTTCGGCAACATTCTGCCTAAGAGGCTGTTAGTGAAGTGAATCATAGGCTGATCATGTGCAACACCTTCATGTCATGTCATGCACATTTTGTCAGTGTCTTGATTGGAAGTACCCGGGCAGACTGAAGACTCTGGCACAGTCTTGTTTCCCAGCCTCGGTGAAGTACTTGTCACTCCTCTCTCAATGAGGCCTTTGCTTCACACGACCTAACGGCTTGGTGGGTTTGAAGGCTGCCTCCCTCCTTGGCTGCACGCTCTGGAAGATTTATCCATGAGTGTTCAGTGGTGACTAAAATACCCTGACCCATTGCCAGCATTCCATTCACACTGATGTGCTTGTCATTTCCCTAAACATCTGTTCCAATAAGTGGGAAAAATAGTGACCCTTCAAGCAGCCTGTTTCTTAGCATGCTCACTGAGTCCCATAACCATCATTGGAATTAGCCTTAAATGTTTCAAGTCTACTTGAGGCAATTGTACCTTATGCTGTTTTTGTTTGTTTATTGATTAAAGTTTACCCAGCATGCTGGCTATGTAGAGAGTGTGCACCACTGATTGAATTGGACTTACAGCAAGCAATTTACCATTATGCAGGAAGAAAGACCACTGATGAGTGAGTCATTCCATACGCTGTAGAGTATTAGGCCTTAAAATCGTGACTGATTTGGGGCATTTCATCAGGGTCTTTGTTGGAAGCATTTAGTATTAATGCCTAAGATTGCTTCTGCCTGCAGAACCAGGCAGGGCACTATTGATTTCCACTTCCAGGTCCTTGCAATCTTTATTTTTAACTCTTTAGTGATCTTGTAGAATTTCTTCCTACTTGCAAGTGTATTGATTGGCCTAAGAATTATTTCAGAATTTATGGAAAAGCTTATGGATGCTTCATAGAGGATTAGTAATACTTTGTCGTGAGAGCTTGGGAAGGGCAATAAGGGGGGTTATCTTTTCCAGCCCTGGTCATTACTGGGACCAAGCTCGTGAGTGGCACCTTATCTAAACATGGGGCCTTAAGTGGTCAAGTGTTTTCAAACTTGTACTTTTATTCCTGTACCACAGTAGGGGTGATTGTTTTTTTCATGGATCCTGTATTTTTTCTTAGTCATATAATTGTTTCACATATTTATGCCTATGTTGGAAGCATTGCTTTGTTAGATTATGATGAGAAAATACAGAGCCTGTATTAATGTGCTGGCACTTCACTATGCATGGTGAGTAGAAGGCAAAGGCCCTGCTCTTTGAGAGCTACGTTCTACTCTTCCCCACGATACCGAGCTCCAGTCCTCATTGCTCCTATTAACCACCATTTCTGCCAACTTTCCCACCTCCTCCCACTCTTGCCTTGGCATCCCCGTAGATTCTTTGCCTGCTGGTCCTGGCCGGCCTTCGGGTTCTGGTTGGCATCTCTTCTGATTACGGTGTGAGAAGTTATAACCCAGTCAGCGTCAGTTACCCTCAAGGGGAGAGCAAAGTTTATGCGATTAGCAAACAGGAGTTTGGAGAACAGATATGAGAAGAAGGCTGCTTTGTGCCGGGTGCCATGCATATCCTCCAGCTCCATGTGTTTCCTTTTTCATGTGTGTCTCAGAAGTTCATCCATGTTCCTCAGCTCTGTGTATGAGCCCTGTCTTCCTCTGTGTCCTCCAACGCCACGTATGTCTCCAGCTCCTCGTGTGTCCCCTGGTTCCATGTGTGTTCTCAGGTTCCATGTGTGTGCTCTGGTCCCATGTGTGGCCGTGGTTCTGTTCACATCCCTTGGCTCCATCTGTGTTCCCAGCTCCATGTTTGTCTCCTGACTCCATGTGCTTCCCCTGTTCTGTGGACATCCTCTGGATCTGTGTGTGTCCTTGCATCTCTGTGTCCCATGATTTTATGTTTGTCCTACAGGTACAAATATGTTCTCCAGCTCCCTGGACTCCATGTCCATGTGTGTCCCCTGGGTCCACATTTCCATGAGCCCATGCCCCCTAGCTCCCATGATTTCGTGTCTGTCTCCTGGCTTCCTCTTCTCCATGTTTCCTTGACTCTGTGTTTTCGATATCTTGTTGAGTATACCATGGTGTTGTGCATGTCTTACACCTCCCAAGGTATCCATCAACATTATGGTTTTTTTTTCTCCCTCTGGGTTTTGGGTGGCTAGAGTTTTTACAGATTTTTTTAATACATCATATTTTGATCATATTCCTTTCACTTCCAAACTCCTCCCAGACCTTCCCTATCCACCCAACTTCATGTTCTTTGTCTCTATTTTCCAAAAGCAAAATAAAAACTGAAAATAAGTAATAAATAAAAACTCAATAAGATTAAAAATACTGAAACAAAACAAGGCTGTAGTCCCGTGGATCGTCACATGGAGTCAAGGCCTTGCCTGGGTTCATCTTGCCTCATATAACCCTCTTATTGCCAGGAAAGGAGTTGACACAGAGGACTTTGAGAACCCCTGCAGTGTACCACAAGCTTCATAGCCTTAAAATTGATAAGCCAGTGGTGAAATTACATCTAGTATTCATCTCTGTCCAGTCTCAGGCCTATCAGAGTGGCCCTTAGAAGTATGTGTGTTGGGGGATGCATGATGGTATTCTATTCCCTAGGAGGAGGAATTGGGAATTTTATTTAGTTAAAATGTATCACAGTAATTAATTTTAATGCCTTTAATATTTTATACACTTGGGGGTAGTGGCGCATGCTTGTATTTCTCACAGCTCGAGAGGCTGGGGCAGGAGCATTGACGGTTTAAGATTGTCTTGTGCTACATTATAAAATTCTGACTCTCCAAATGTATAACAAAGCAGTTTCATATAAAGTGAATTAAAATAAAACATGAAACTGCTTAGAGTTGGTAGTTCTCCCAAATGGAACTTTTTTTTTTTCTCTGTAGAAATTAAGTTTTCAAAAACCTGTTTGTTCTCTTATGTCAGTACAGGACTTAAGTGTTTACTTAGAGCAGGACACAATCACTAAGGATCCTTAAGAAATCCTTCGTCACAGGAATAAGTTGTCCTGTGTGGTCATGTGCAATGCTAAAAGCCTCATGTGATATGATGGAAAATTCACAAAGTCAAAATTCAAAAGGCAACTTGCAAATGGAGCCCCGAAGTTACCAGTGTACTGCCCACTGGACATCACCATAAGCTACATGGAAAGCACTTTTGATTTGAAAATGTGTCGCTGGTGTTCTGTCGGTAGAAATGGAGTGTTAGAAAGTATGTGGCTTGTCAGCCCCAGCATGTGAGTCATGACCATGAGTGCGTGAAGGCTTTGGATGAAAGTACTGCTCCTTCATTCTTTCGTTTTGAAGATTATTGATAATTTTTCATGTCGCTTTGCATCTTATGGCCCCTGATGAGCAACTGCTAAGTCTAAGTTTCTCTATTCCGTCTTCAGACACAATTTGAAGACTATTTCGTTGCTTCCTACCACTAGGACAATGTTTAGATTATTTTATGACTTCAAATAGACTGCTTTGTTAGTGAAGTTCTTCCCCACGATCGGATATGTCCTGGGATGAGGATTTTATATTGCTGTCCTCAGGACTCTGATTAAAAACAGCTTCCTCCACTTGGACACACCATTGCATTTTATTTATGTTTATGCATATTACGCTCTTTCTAAACATCAAGTGGGCAGTTTGTTTGTTTCTTATAGTAAGGATTAAAAACAGCCTTCCTGCTCTGCGTGAGGGAAGAGGTGGGGATAAATGAGAGGAAGTTTTAATTAGGTAGTACTTTTCTTGGATCCTGTCATTCTTCTTATAATAGCTGAGTAAAATAAGCAGCTGTGTTTACAATTGAGAGGCAGAGCTTTCTTCCAGTGTTCACGGCACAGTGCTGAAAAGTCTCTGTTACCAGAGGGACAAGTAAAGGACTAGAAAAGCTACTAACTAAATCTTACTAGCATGGTTCTAATTTAATCAAGACTTACACTGTTGCTTTCTTTGGTCTCTCTCAATATGGAATGAAGAAGAGCCAAGGAGTAGGCTCAAAGCTTTGGAAACATTAAGTTTCTTGTTTCTAATCTCAGTTCCCTCTTCCAGGGAGGAATTTTCCCCACTCATAACCAAGAGCATTGACTAGTTCATGATGACATTCATAATGATGATGTGTGCTCCAGGACCAAATGGACGGATCCTTCCCATCCCAGGCTCACCAAGGATTTGTGTTGATATTTGACCACCTTGGAAGTACTTCTGGACAGCCTGTTATATAGACTACAAAGCCTATTAGCTAAAATCAATGAAGCAAGACCCTGGTGCACAGAGTGTTCTAGACAAGTGCTTCTAGTGGCCATCAGAAGGTGATTAATGATTATCATTCTTGTTTGTAGTTTTGATTTTTGTTCCACTCAATGCTCTGGTTTTAGCACAGGGAGCATTTTAGCTTCTGCTTGTTTGAAGATAAAAGCAGAGGTCCATTTCATTAATAATTCAATCAATATTTAGTGAGTATATGTTATGTCCTGGAAATTGTTTTAGCCACTGGGGTTACCCTAGTCAGCAATGTAGAGATAAATCCTGGCCCACACTGACTTTCTGCTCTATTAGGGAGACAGCCAATAATAAGCTGATATTGAGTGGACTCCCTTGTGGAACCGAGAGAGAATGTAAAGCCGTGATGGGTTAAAAGGAGGGGTTTGCAGCTGTCACCATGGTAACTAGGTATATCACATGGTTTGCCTTTGCCTCTCAGCTCGCATTTGATCTTGTCTTCTGTATATTCATTCTTTAAAACTGACAGGTAGTTATTGTACATATTTAAAAAAACATAGTGTGTGATTAACATTTCCCTCTCCTTAAACATTAACCATTTCTTTATGTTATAAACCTTTTTATTCCTTTTATTTTTTATACAAGACACAGCACATTGTTGCCCCCCCCCTTTTTTGTTCTGCTCTGGAAACTGATCAGGGTATTAGCCATGACTTAAGCTCCTTACCTTCTGGGTTCCTGTTGATATTTGTGAATGATGTAGGACACCAAGGGAAGCTGAAGAGGACAGAGGGCCACAGCCTGCAAGCTTCCAGCAGCAGGCTGATCCCAGACTCCACAGTTCTCATCTCAGTCACAGATTCTAGAAAACACTAGCAGAGAGAGAGACGGGCTTATAAGTTCCAAATCTGTAGATTGGGATCATTCACTATTTTGGTTTTTATTTTTAAAAAGTCATTCACTGCCTTCCTCTGGATGTGACCTGATATCTTTATGATTATGAGATAAATCCTTTGGAATGTATTAAGTTCCCTCAGTTCCACCAGCTAAAAGACAAAGCATGTAATCAGAAAGCATCCACAGTCAATGGCTGAAACTTCCATGCTTTTGTAGGACCACTGTATCTGGTATTTCCAGGAACATATTTGTAAAGTGTCTTTGGTTTTAATTTTCTTTGTTCTGTTATTAACAAAAATATCATGAAACTGCAAAAAAAATAAGATTGATATTACATGAAAGAGTCTGGGTAATGTAATGATGTCATATTTGAGATTTCAAAGGATCACTTGGTCTGCTATACTAAAGATGGACTGGACTGCAGGCAGATGGATTGATGCAGAGCAGGGAGACTCGTTGGGTGGTGGTGATTAATCTTAACTGGAGATGGTGTTGGCTTTCAGAAGGATATCAGTGGGCAGCCTGAGGAGCAGTGATAGTGTTTGTTTGGTAGGCAGAATCAAAAGTACTGGCATTCAGTGTATGTGTGTGTGTGTGTGTGTGTGTGTGTGTGTGTGTGTGTGTGTGTGTACGTGTGCTGTAAGAGAAGCAGTTGGGCAGGACTGACTCCAGCCTTTTCTGTTTGAGTCACAGAATGTTGAATGAGGTGAAGATTTCAATAGAAGTGCTGCATGAGGAGTTTCAGAGCCCAGTATTTGATAAGTTCAATTCAAGATGTTGAGGGATCTACGGAAAGGGCTGTAGAGATACATGAGAAGAGTTGGGGTGAGTAGACCCTGGGCCAATCAGAATAAAGATTTTGGAGAGATGAGGCAGCAAATGATGAAGAAGCATAACTGGGACACATTTCAGCCATACCAAAAACCAACCAACAAACAAACAAATAAATAAAACAAAACCTGTGGATTTCAGCATGAGACAACAGGAAGCAGAGGAGGATTGCCTGACAGATGAGAACTAAAGGGACCTGAAGTCTCTAAGCCTGGAGTGGGTTGACCTACATGGTGGAACTCTACTGCAGATGAATGTCTTTCAAATACTCTTGTTGCCAATGGTCAGGCCATTTTTATTTGTGAATGTCCCATGAATGTACTGGCCTACTGCTCTTTCTTTCTCTTTTTGTTGAGGCGGGGGTTGGTTTGAGACAGGGTTTCTCTGTGTAGCTTTGGTGCCTTTCCTGGAACTCGCTCTGTAGCCCAGGCTGGCCTCGAACTCACAGAGATCCACTTGCCTCTGCCTCCCGAGTGCTGGGATTAAAGGTGTGTGCTACCACTGTCCGGCTGTGGCCTAGCTCTTTAAGAAGCAATGTTGTACTAAAATTGGTAAATATAATAGAAGAAATCTCAAGAGGTTGGTCTGGCCACTCAATGTCATTTTTAACCTGCTCTTGAGGAGTGGTGGAAAAAACACTCTTAGGAGGGGAGGTGTTAGAATGATATTCTGTGCCTTAGAGTGTGAATTTGTGGAAGTGACAAAAGAGTTCCCTTTGATGATTTATACTTACAATAACCAAACAGATTAAAAAAAAAAAAAACATCAAAACAAAAACAAGATGGCAGCGTAAGGTTTGTGGTTTATTGAGTGGATAAAATTAGATTGTATCTATTTGTCTATTTGTGAAAAGCAGCAAAGATATAACACATTTATACACCTATTATTAAAACCAGAAAGCAATGTTGTGTGGTGATGGCACACGCCTTTAATCCCAGCACACGGGAGGCAGAAGCAGGTGGATCTCTGTGATTTTGAGGCTAGCATGGGCTACCAAGTGAGTTCCAGGACAGGTGCAAAGCTACACAGAGAAATCCTTTCTCAAAAAACAAACAAAAAAACCAAAAACCAAACAAACCAAACAGAAAGCATTAATTTCACATGGAGCTATATAACTCACTCATTTATGTGTAAGCAGTTTTGAAAACTCTGTGAGATTCATTAAATTAAGAATCCATCACTGATGTTGAGGAAGAGAAATTGGAGAATTTGATTTGTCTTAATGATTTTTTTAAATGTGTGTTTCAATGTTAATCACCCAAAAATACAAAGATATGTTGGAGATTTCTCATTTCATGGTTAAAGGGAAAATATAAAATCATTGCATGCGCAGGTCAAGTTTTATTTAAATACTTATCTGAATTTTTAAAAGGCCTAGAATTATATAATCTTATTAACTTAAATTTAAAACTCATTTGAATTATTTTATTTCTTCATTCCTAAGTATAAGTTCTATGATTTAAAAAGAACATACCTACAACAATCAAGCATGTGAATAATTAGTCCTCCACTTCATAAGAAAGAAACAAATTCTTAGAGAATATATGCATAGATCAAATTTCAACCCCAAACCCAAATTATAAGCTTTGAGAACATGAAGAGAATATGAATGTGTGAGTTCCATTTATGTGTGGGTGTGTGGCAGTATTTTTAATTATACTAACTAATATTTGAGAAATTGAGGGCAGGCAGATTGTCAGACAAATTCCATAGCATATTCCTCTTGTTTGTTCAAGATCTGGTAAACAGATTTTTGTGGCTGGAAACTGATGTAGGGGAGTCTACCGTCTGGGTGAGGTGGGGAGTGGGGATTGACTTAACCTTAGTGCACGGTGAACAAACAGAAAACCAGACCGTGTTAGAAACGGAGCTACGTAGACCATGGACAGTGGGCAGACAACATGGTGGGAGTGTGACCATTCAGGAGGAGAAAAATGAAAGTGAGCTGTTGGCAGGACATGAGAGAGTGATTGAACAACACATGGGTGAAAACGATGTATGGTGTTTGGACCATGTTAGAGTCAAATTAAACTCAGCTACAGAGAAGCTCATGAAAATCACCTTTGCAGTTAAACAATTTGTGTGATGAGTCTTTTTCTGTCCCTTCAGCCAGCATCCCAAGTAATGACATGGAGATTTCTTATTAATTATGAAAGCATGGCCTTTAGCTTAGGCTTATTCCTAATTAGCTCTTAAAACCTAAATTAATCCATTTATATTAATCTGTGTTCTGTCATGTGGTGTTACCTCTCTTCCATCTTACACCTCCTGCTTCCTCTCTTTGTCTCTTGGAGTCTCCCCTTTGCCTCAGTTATCTCCTCCTACTTCCTCTTCTGCCTGGAAGTCCTGCCTATACCTCCTGCCTAGCTATTGGCTGTTCAACTCTTTATTAAACCAATCACAGCAATCTATCTTCACACAGTGTACAAATAGCCTTCAACATGTATTATTCTAAATAACCCACAGCTCAGAACAACTTCAAGGGAAAATCTGAATTGTTCCCATCTGAAAAACAGTAGGAACATCATTTGTCTAAATCGGTGGTCTACAACTTCATTTGTTGCTTCTATGAATGATTTTAGGTTCCTGAATATAGAGATACTTTAAAAGGCAAATTAAACTTAGGTAAACTGGAGAAATTAAAGAAGAAAAGCAAGGGCTAGTGAGCTGACTTGGTGGGTAAAGAGCTTGTCATGTAAATACCCAAGTTCAAATTCCAAAACTCATGTAAAGCAGGTCATGACAACTCAAAGCTGTCACCCCAGATCTCCTGGTGCGAGAAGGGAGGCAGAAACAAGGGAATCTCTGGAAGCTCTCAAGACACCCAGCCTAGAACACAAAGCAATGAACAACAAAAAGAAACACCCTGTTTCAAATAAGGTAGGAGGCAAGGACTGATGCCTGAGGTAATCCTCTGACCTCCTTACATGGCTATACTTACACTAATATTCACATGCTTGCACATATATTCACATATCACCCTCACACACATACAGACACAGCATATACACAGACCCCAAATATAACAGTATAAATCAAATAAGTATAATGAGAGAGAAGGGGGGGACTTAAACACTTCTTGGATAAGAACTGAAAAATCAACAAATTTCTTACCAAACTGATGAGAGAAAATGGAAGAGACATGTAATTTAAAATTAGGAATGACCAGAAGGCCCCAAGACAGAGCCCTAATGGCCATAAATAAAAAGTGGTAAGCAAAACCTATCTTTCCACTATTTGACAACTTAGGTAAAATTGAAAAATTCTTTGTAAGATACAATTTGTCAGTTTCACTAAAGACATCTGCAGTCTCACTACTTGGTGTCTAAGGGAGGAGGACCACTTAAACCCAGGGGTTTGAGCTCATTCTATACAACATAGTGATCCTAACTCTGTATTTATTTAAAGAATCAAATTAATAGTTCAGAATTCTAGAAGATTGGAGCAGAAGGATCTGAAGTTCCAGCCCTTTGCTAGAAGCAAATGCAAGGCCAGTGTGTGTATGTAAGACCATGTCCTGAAGTATAATGCAAAAACAGAGCAGGGATAGAGCTAATTATAGAGGCCTGGGTGCAGCTCTAACATCATAAAAAATATTGAGCTGACTTCAAACTCACATGGCTTACATCATGGATTTTACTAGAAATTAAATGAAAAAGTCATTAATTCTACATGATCTTCAAGAGAGAAGAGAGGGACAGAAAAGTAAGCAGATGGCTTGATAGTAAAGATGGAGAAGTTAGCCCAAGTTGTAAAACCACAGACCGGAATCTCCCATCAGCTTAGACACAGAAATCCAATATCATATAAACCACCGAACCTAGTGATTTGTAAAAAGGATGATATACCTTCACAAGTTGGATTTGTTCCCTAAACACAAAGATGGACAGTATTTCAAAGACTTATGTTAGAGAATCAAATTAATGCCAATAATGCCTTATTTGACTAAAGTGATAGTAATATTCATCTTTGCCAGTGAAAAATGTAAAATTCTCAACACCTGTATAGTAAAACCAAGGATCAGAAATGCTGCCTTTATGGTTGGAAAGGCACCTAATAATCTCTCAGCATCTGGCATGATGCACAGATTTGGTGGAATGGATGCTTTTCCCCCACAGAGTTTCCTCTTTGGTATTAGGGTTTTCTTTTACCATCAACCAACATACAATCATG